ATTATTCCTTGTGAACTTTGAAGTCAAGGGCTTTCAGCTGCTTTCAACCGAAGRGGAGTAAGAATTTCCATCCTGGTATCTCAAATAACTGATGCCAGGTTGTCTGAAGGCCTGTAAAAGATCCCAAACACTGACATTTCATAAATTAGCAAGTCAGGTCTATAGATAGACATCCCTTTCTGATCCAGCTGGATAACAAGTAATTTAATTTACTCCCTATCTGTTACCACCTGCTTCAGAAGATTGTCACCTGCCAAGTTTTACTGGGAGGGAAAGCTGTTTTAGAACTCTGTGTAGGACACTGCAGCAGTTCTCASCTTTGCCACGCCATTCTCCTCCTGACCAATCACTCACAGACATGAAGATGCATTCCTTCCACATGTGGATACAGCACCAAGTTTCCTCATGGTGTTCCCAACTGCTCCTCCCCTTAGGAGCTCCAGGACAGGAGGCCAGCAGGAGATAACTCTTTACTGGAAGGAAGGAGCATTTGAAGCTCTGAGCTTGCTGCATGCAGAAAGGCAGCATTCATTACTTCTAACAGCTAAGCTCCTTTTCCCTGAGGAAGACAAGACAAARTAAGTCTCTTCAAGGACTTTTGTTGGAACCCCATAGAAGTCCCTGGAGGGAAGAGGGAGTCCAGGAAACCTGGTTAATATTCAAGGAGCACCTCCTCCAAGCTCAAGAGCTGTCCACCCCAATACACAGGAAGTCAAACAAAAATACCAGAAGACCTCTGTGGGTGAACAAGGAGCAAATAGCCAAACTCAAAAATGARAAGGAAGCATAGAGAAGGTGGCATCAAGGACAGGTAACCTGTGAGGAATACAGAGACATTGTTCAGGTATGCAGGGATGAGGTCCCAAAAAACAAAGCCCAGCTGGAACTGAAGCGAGTGAGGGATGTCAAAGACATGGAAGTGCTTCTCTAAGGGACAAACAAAAGACTGGGAAAAATGTGAGCCCACTGYTCCCCTCCACACTGTACTGCATCTCACTCCATCATCTTAGACTGAACAGTAAACAGAGCAAGCTCTGTACCCTTCTCTGACTATGCTTTGTCTAATAAAGTTTCTAGGGATTTTTGCATAACATTTTTTGTTTGGTTGGTTTGGGTTGGGGTTTTTTTTGTCATTGTTGCTGTCTTTTGTCAGCACCTGTCAGCTGATTTGGCTGGCAAATTCCTAACAGAGGAGGCTCAGCAATGTAGCTGCAGGGGAATGGAAATAATCTTCTGTAATACTATCAGCAAATTTCCTTTGTCCTGGGGCCAATTTACCTTTTCTAACCCCAGAAACACAGCCAGAAACACACGCTAGTCTCCTACAAGCTTTCTCCTGCATCTCTCTGCACCTTACCATGCTGTATTATGGCATTTAGATGTTTCACATGGTAGCATTTTACTGAGAGTCTTTTCTGATATCCACAGGCAACCATCTTTTGTCACATCATTGCTTTTAGTTGCATTTCCAACTGAAAATGAGCCTAGGAACAACCATGCCCTTCTCCTGGGTCWCTCAATCCAGCAAATAGCACAGATACTAAGATTAAATATAAGTTGTGTGTGATACATACGCACATATGATCTATTATCATTTTTAAATGCTAAGTACTATGTTTTTTCACTAYATAATACAAAAGGCTTTCAGAGACACAATCTAAACAGACAGAAAAAAATGCAAGAGATTAAACAAAGACTCTTATCTTACCCTGTGCTTTTACAAAACTTTTAACCTTTTGCTTAGATAGACAAGTGCCAGGGCCTCACAAAGAAAGTAATGTGTTTCAGGAGGGAATGGAGAAAGGGCGCTTCCCTTCCGTGTAAGGATTGAGAAGGAATTCCAAACATGAAGATAAAAATAAAAATAAAATGGAAAAATGAGACAAAGTAGTGAGTCAGAATTTGTTCATTATGTGTTTCAGTGAACTTTCTCTGATKTCTTGTAATGTACCTTAACTGCAACAACGTTTATCTGCTAAATAGATAGTCCAAGCCTCTAATCTATGAACTTCTACAATTAAAATATGAAAACTACGTGGCCCAAAMTAAAATACATATTAACATGCTCAAATTGCAAGTGAACCCGCAGAAACCATTGCATTTGTATTGCATACGTAGATCTCAAAAGTGATCATTTATTTTAAATTGACCATTTAGTTCTCACTGACCCAAAATTACCTAAGTGCCACCAAGGTACTGGCCTCTGGCAGTATGCWCATAAATCTGTTCAGGCTCTGACAGGACTGTGAGCTGAGACCTCAGAAACCCAAAATCTGGATCCTCAAAACATGTATTTCCATATTTATCTCATCAAGCAGTTCAATCTTGGCAGACTCCRAGGACAATCTCTTTTAAGAGATAAGTTGTTGAAATATTTCTGCCAGGATAGGAAAGACCAAGGTAAACCACTAATGCTCACGGCAAATTTAGCCTGACAACGCWGTAATCTCTTCTAAAATACCTTCGGCACTAATGCATCAAAAATTTCCCATCATCCAGCTGCATGCCCTGAATCAYGATAACTGGGAGACTGAGATGACCCCAGATCCTGCATGACACTTGGACTGATACAAAAGCAAATAAATGTACTTGCTCCTTCCCAGCAGTTCATGCCAGTCTGTGATTTACACAGGCTGATCTGGCACACATTTACATTCCTGTAAGGGCTTTCTCTGGTTCTAAACTATATCTCTTAACCTCCTCCCAGCTATAAAAAGAGAATGACGGTATTAATGTAACATTACAGAAGCACTGTCAGTTACAACAATTAATTTTTAAAAMTATATATTCAAAATAGAGAGTTGATTCTGCTTTATTGARGTACAGYTTTTTTTAAAGMARCAAAAATTTTRTCTAAAGTGAGGAAGACCTGGTGCAAAAACTAAGTGTAAGTATTCTAAGTATAATCATCAATAAAGAGAAAACAGGAGTTAAGCAGCATTAAAAGGTTGGCTTTACTACAAATGTATTCATATTATACAGCATTAGATCAACTAGTTGAGTTACCAGTATTCACATACACCCTTAAGTTAGAAGCTCATTAAAAGCCTCTATCAGAAATACAAAACAAGCTAATCATAATTTTATTTATCTCCTTGCGGCAGAACATGAAATCAAATACTAAAAAACCTTTTTTTTTTAATTTTCTAAAACTTGTAAGTACAGACAATGATACAAAATGTTTTTTTGAAATATCTGATAATTAACACCTGTAGTATACTAAACATCTGTTCCATAGCTTTTATCCCCTGCAGTAAAAATTCAAGCCTTTGCAATTTGCCTGGTGAAAAGGTAACATGATCCAGCATCTTTTGCTGTATTTAGAACTAATCCAGGTTTATAGGTTATTTTTACAACAGCAATATTTTAAAACAAACTCTAAGAAAAAATATGAAGCTTAACAGAAAATGAGATGAAGCCTAATGCTGCCTTCCCAAAGAAAAACCCTGCTAAACTTACCTGATATTAGTAAGATATCACTTGATATTTATTCAGTGAATTTTCTTGGAAAAGGCATTAGATCACCCCTATCTGGACACAGTTAAATACTTGATATAGTGCAATGCTGACATTTATGTTTATCTTACAGGAATTAAGGAGAAGATGGAAGAAAATTTTCAGGGATCTCCCTTGTGMTCAGTTTTTATTTAACACCTTAATTAACAACTTCAACACAATGAGTAGGGAGACACTTATGGTACAAAATAAGAAACATAGCATATGGAAAGAAAATGTGAGAATTATATTAGAAAAACAGTATAAGACTTAGAACTATGGAGTGCAACATTTAGCAAAATGTGGAATATGTAAAATTTTCTTAAGAAAGCATGTGCTTTAATGTTTGATCTTTGYATACTTTCAAGCCTTATCARCAAGAARGGAGATTTAATCCATGAAACAGAGAGCAGCCAACAAGCTGGAAGTGATGTCCAGGTGTTAGAAAGACAAATTACTGGTTGGTAGAATTGCCTTGTTAAGYTTTAGGGCATGACAGGTTCCAGTGATCTCAGTCCTAGGGCGAGGTTWACAAAGTTGGGAAGAAGGAAGTGCCACTGATAGTGGACACAAAGAATGAAGAATTTATGGGCCACAGGGACATTGGGCAGACCCCCCAAGATAAGGAAGAAACTAATAAATACCCAGCAACTGTGCTGAATCAGCTCTGCCTGGGTAAAAGACAATTCGGCAGGGGAAGATCCTGATCACAGACTCACGGATCACAGGCCCAAGAGAAAGGCCTGGAATGGGACTAATTAGCGTAAGAAACGAGAGAATCATTAACTAATAGAACACTAATTAATACAAGAACTRTGTAACTTGTAGCCAATGGATATTAGGTCCTTTTTGCTGAAATGCATAAATACTAAAGGGTTTCAATAATTGTTGTGCTTGATTTGTGGAATTCCACTAGGCACCCAGGCTTGCAGAACTCTGAAATAAAATAATCAATGTCTCTCTCTCGTGTGTAGTTATCGGCTTATATTGTAATTATTGTTGCATGCTGGGAAACAAATCCARTTTTTGTGGACAACAACGTTCTGCACTTATAAATACATAAATTAAGATGTTATCTCAGAAACCCTGGTCAAAGGTTTGGATTTGATGTGGTGCTTGAACCTGCCAAGATAACCAGAAAACATCATGCAAAGGACATGAATGGTAGAAACAAACCGTATATTTGATTAGTTAATAAATCTTTCTAAACCAATGGTCTATACCAGAAGCAGGGCATTATTTGTGTTGATAATAAAATGTGTCAGGTAGCCCCTTTAAAAAAGGGGGGGGGGGGGGGGGGGGGGGTGTGATGGATGATATTTCAGGGATCCCCACTTTCCAGTACCACATCCAAATCTGAAGAAAAACTTGCAGAGCCTTCGGGAGGGGCAAAAAGCAGCTCATAATTTTGTTTTTTCGGCAGTGAGCTGAGGCAGGCGCGGCTCTGAGGGAGGAGCGGGGCGGTGCCGGCGGGCGGGGCTGCTCCGCTCTAAGATGGCGGCGCGGGGCTGACGTGGTCCGCGCTGAGGCGGGTGCGGGGCGGGCGCTGGCGACATGGCGGCGGCGGGCAGCGAGGGCGGGAGGAGCGACGGAGCGGAGGAGGACGAGGTGGAGGTTGGTGGATGCCGACACCGGGGCGCCCCCAAGTCCTGAGGGAAGGGTCCGGCCCCCCGCGGGGCGTGTCGTGGCCGCGGGGCCGGGCCCGGACCGAGCGCGTTTCCCTGCGGCCGGAGGGATTCGCAGTGCCCGCAGCGGTCCCGTCCCAGAGCTGTGTGATTCTGGCGTCCTGGGAATCGGCGTGGTCAGGAAGCGATCTTCCAGCTTTAGTTGCTTTCTGTGCCCATAAAATCACAGAATCGGAGAAAGGTTTGGGTTGGAAGGGTCTTTAAAGATCATCCGCTTCCAGACCCCTGTCACTAGAACCCCGCTTCCACTAGACCAGGTTGCTTAAAGCYCTATCCAACCTATTCTYGAGCAATTCCAGGGATGGGGCATTCACAGCTTCTCTGGACGACCTGTGCCCGTGCCTCACCCCCGTCTCTGTAAAAAAATTCATTTTCATTAATGAAAATTTCAATATCRAACTTAAACCCACTCTCAATTTYAATCTGTTWGCCCTTGTCCTGTCACKACATGCCCCTGTGAGAAGTCCCTCTCCAGSTCTTTTGTAGGGCYCTCTAGRYAGTGGAAGGAAGTGCTGTAAKGTCTCCCCAGACCCATATTGATGYTCATTTTTCAAGGGTGAAAAAAGAGCTCCATTCCTAGCTAGGAAGAAAAGGCCAGGAAATTCAGGTGTGAAACAGGTGTCTTATGGAGTAGTGGGTCGCTACATGTCCCTGGGTATTACAAGAGCTCTGTCTCTTGACAAAATGCAGCATAACTCCARCTTGGGGTCTGTTTATCTTGAAAGTCTGGATCTTTGTGTGCTATTTTTATTGGTGTGGATTGCTTTTAAAGGGGCCATTTCTCCCCCCTGAGTTCAGATATGTCTGTTATTGCTGTACATTATCAACTTTTCTCGTAGGAGCAACTGGTCATGGTCGAGCTATCGGGAATTATTGATTCAGACTTCTTAGAAAAATGTGAAAACAAGTGCAAGATTTTGGTGAGTGATTACAGCACAATAGGAAAGGGGTAAGTCATTACAGATGGGAGCAAGGGATTGAGGCTGCTTCTAAATTTCTTGGYGTTGCTAACGTTTAGATCACATCTTTGATGGAGAATTGTGTGTGCCGTATTTGCCTGCATGTTTCAGGCTCTATTTCAGAAACAGCATAAAGTCTTTGAATATATTACTGTGTAAATATAAGGAAACTTTTTCACAAGTATATATAAGCTTGGACCACTGTCTGCTCTGATTTCAAGCACTAAGTTAAAGTTTTTAAATTATGTATTTCACACATTAAAAATATTGTTAATCACCCTTTTTCAAGTAACTGGAATACAGCTGACAGGTAAAGCAAAATATTTCAGATTTGTACTGTATTTACAATGGGTTTATTTGCAGATGTCTTCTGGCAAGTTCAAGTCTTGTAAACATAATTCGGTATTCAGCTTTCGGTATAAAGTTTTGGCTGTTGTTTGCTTCACTGTTTGGTTATTGTTGGAATCTGGTTTACTCAACCTTTTCCTTTTGAGTTTTTTAATCACTTTATCTGTATGGGACAGATTTTATTTGCCCTTCAAAACCTATGTCAACTATGAGACTTGTATAGGTAGTACAAGTACTATTGATTTGCAAATACTTTCTAAAAGTAGACCTTTATTATAGCCTGAAAAAATGGAAGAGAACATCTGAGTATGCYAGTGACCAGAACATATGTGAGTGGTGGAGTTAATTCTGAATGTCTCAGAAATAGAAATACAATCAAAGTTTGTGAAATATCTGTCTTTGGATGGATATGCTTTTATTAGCTGGGTGTCTTCCTCCATCTGACCTAATTTTCTTGAAATTTGTTACACTTGATTCACTACTGGGGGCTAAATGGCCACAGGAACTTCAATACCACTGGTGGGATTCTTCTGAATGTGTTTTGAGGTTCACCTTTAAATAAGGTTTCTAGAAAAAGTTAAAAGTAGCCATACTGTGTCCTACTTGTATCCAAATCTACTCCTGTTTGTTCCCAAGAGTAAGCATTYCTTGAGACCTATGGACAACTGCTGTTAAAACCATAATTAAAGGTTCTGCTCTGTGTTACTCTGTTTAGCAAGTTTTCTGTAATGCTGGTCACATAATGGGAAGACAGTCTCCAATTCTGCRTAGTCCAAAAGAGAATGCAAATCAATCAAAGAAATAAAATTTTGAATATAAAACTCCCGTAATGCTACTGCTTAGTACTGTTGTGTTTCTATTTTWAWKRWTTYYT